AAAAAAAAAAAAAAAAAAAAAAAATGTGTTTCATTTTATTTGATATAAGCCATGATCTGCCTTTGTGGAATTTGCATCTGTGTTCTTGAAATGGTGACATGTATGTTTTCCATCACCCTCAGTCAAGAGGGGAGAGCAGAGCCCTGTGCTTTGTTGGGGTCTCCAGGAGAAATCCATATACCCCGTTAATCAGAATCACCTCACCTTCCTCAGATCTTAAAGTGTTTACAGAAATTATAATGTGCTCTTTGGGGGTTAATTACAGTGGAATAACCAGGGTATTCTGGATGCCACTGAAAGCCAGAGAACAGCCTGCTTACACATGAGCCTGTGTGGCTCCCACCTGCTCTCCTCTTCACAAAGCCACAGCCCATCCTCACGGTTTCCCCAGAATGTCCAGTCAGGCCAGGTGACTAGCTGAAGAGAAAAGTTAGACGTGTAAACATTTCAAGAGTGTGGGGAGCTGTCTTACCCAATTGGGGTGTTCTCAACAGTCCAGAAGTCTGTTTGGTACATTTTATGGAACATAAACTGATGGCTATAAGGATTTGTGCATTTCCTTATAATACCTGAATTGATATACGAATATTTCTTCAAAGAACTCGAAGCAATTTACATTCAACACAGCAGGTGTTCTTACCATAACTCTCTACTTTAGCCAGGCGGGTATCATGTTGCATTTCACAAATGGGAAATAAATGGATCAAAATTGCCTTGCCACATCTACACTGGATGTCTTTGGCCAAGGCAGGATTAAAAGAGAACTCTTATAGTTTTTAATCTTTTCTATTAAACTGTTTTCTCTAAAAAGCAGAGGTAAATGTAAACCCAAGAAAAGGTTTTTCAAAAGCAAATGCAAAAATTAAATGTGCTTCCTATTCCAAGACATATAAAAAAAATATTCAATTTTATTCGATCTATGCTATTGACACAATACTGTATTGCTTAGGTGTTCAACTTTTTTCTAGATATTTTTCTAGATACAAAGATTTCTAATAGATTAACAAAACAAACACTTAAACAGAGCAAACATTTAAACCAGTTTAAATACGAACATTTAGAATGGTTTGTGTTTGATTCATTATCTCTTATAACCTTGAAGTTTTAAATAAGAGTACTAGTGATGGATTTAGATAAACCATAGATTGTACTCAAAGGCATGAGCAACCCATAAGTGTTTCTTTCTAGTGTTAACATTTTGACATATAACTTTTCAGATTTTCCTGTATGCATGTGTCAATATTTCTAAGTGTATTAATCTATTAATAATTATTAATGTATTATAATATATCACATTGTAATATAACAATCTATACATTATAATCTATACATTTTCTATATGCATATGCATCTCATATATTCACTACAACCTTTAATTCTTACTGTAGAGGATAGAGCTCCCCCTCTGTAAGTGGACTTTAGATTCAGGTGAACCTTGGTATATGTACCATCTTTACCATCTACTACCTGTGTGCCTGTGAGGAAGTTACTTAACCATCCCGTCTCTGCTTCTTCATCTGCAAACTGAACTGTGAGAATGACAAGAGATGCCATCGATGAAGTATCTGATACCTGCTATTGATATTCAATAGACCTTTATTCCTCCTGGGTCCCAGTATCTGTTAGCCTTTCCAACTCAAACAATCAGCTTCTTGCTCTTAGAACTTAATAATAAAATCCTCTCCAGCTCTGGACTGTGGTTGGGCCTGAGACAGCTGGTGGCTCAGAGCAGAGACGAGATGACAATGAATTCGTTCTCAGGATCCACACTTTCCAAAGCCCTTAAACTTCCTCCTTGACAGGAGTTTAGGTTCTTCTTTCTGCCTTCTCACTCACTCCATTTTTGCTCCCTTCAGTAGCTTGTCTAACCAGTAAAGCAGCTCCTGGTTCCCATTGCAACGGCAAAAACTGAGGGGAAAATCCTCTGAGATTTTTCTTCTTGATATTTTTATTAAAATGTCATTCTTTTCCAAGTTGGCTTCTTGGAACCTCTGGCTTGGAAAGATTAACTTTGTGTCTTTCAAACTACCTTGATTGCAAAAAAAGGGTGGGAGTCTTCAGTTACAACAAAAATCCACTCCCACACTCTTCTAGAGTAGGACTTTTTTTTTGCAGTGGGATGTAAGTTATTTCCATTTAAATAAAATATACAGAACCATCCTATTGCTCCTATTCATATTGCTATGGGTTTTCTAGAATAGGTCATTGGGCAGAAAAGAGTTAGACTGGCTTATATTATGGGGAGATGCCCAAAATGCATCAATTGGATTTTAGTTTATCATTAAATCAAGCTTTTAACTATTTATGACTTTCTTTACAAATATTAAAATTAATTATTCCTTGCCTTGAAACTTACCATTTTGTGAAATCCCAAATCTTCATATTGGTCTAGTTGTTCTTTTAATTCTTTAATAACTTCTTCTTTCTCTTTCAGTTTTCTTAACAAAATATTTATTTTGACACTACTCGCATCTTGCAAATTAATGTTCTCTTCTTCTACCTCAAAAAATTGCTGGGTACAAAAAAAAGCAGCATTAAAAATTAATTAGACACTCAGCATTAAAAATTAGACACCACCAGAAAACATTTCATCTTTTAAGCTGCTGTTTTGTGAGGTTATTTTTGTAACCTGCATACAATTTTAATAAGAAAATTTATTTATATTGAAATATATGCTTAAAAATTATTATGCACTATGTAGCACAGTGTTATCCTATAAAACACAAAGCATGATCAGTTACTCTAACTGTATCAGCCATGTAAACTACAATAGCAAAGAGTGAGATGGAAGAATAGGAGAACTTCCTCTCAACAAAAATTTGGCAGCCATTCATGGACAAAAGTGCCCTTGAGGGAGATTTGGGACCTGGATAGAAGACTGCAAAACTCTGGTGGAGCCCAAGACTGAGGAGGGCTGTTTTGAGTGGCAGGATGCACCTAGGTGGCAGGCTCACTGACCATGATCCCAGCTACAAACCCAGAAATGGCTTCATCCCCCTGCGGACTTGGTCTTGCCACTAGAACCATCTGCCAAGAAATCCAGGAGGAATCACGTTCACCTGTGCCTCTGGTGACACGCCCACAGGCCTCAGTCTCAGCTGTGGACCCTGAATCAGCTCTGTAACTCAACCAAACCCACTTTCAGCTGCAGTTTGAGACCGGTTCTGCCTGCCCAGGCACCTGCTGGGAGTCATGCCTATTTGTGCCCTCGGAAGCTGGTCGGCTGACCTCGGTCTCACAGCAGATCTTGAAATACCCCTTTAACTTGGCCCCAGCCCTCTCAGCTGCAGTCTGAGAGCAGTCTTGCCCACCCAGGGGCTTGATGAAAGCTACGCCTCTCTGTGCCCCAAAGGCAGGCCCACTGATCTTGATTCCACTGCAGATCTTGGGGTGGACCTACACCTAGTTCTGTCCCTTCCTAGCCTTGGGCAGAAGCAGTCCTGTCCACCCAGAGATCTACCAGGAAACATGCCCATCAATGCCTTTAGAGGCAGGCTGCTGACCTCAGTCTGATGGAGGAGCCTGAAGTAGCCCCGTGACCCAGCTCCAGCCCACTCAGCCGTGATCCAAGAGCAGTCCTGCTTGCCCAGGAGCCCAGTAGGAGGCACACCTGTCTGTGTCTCTGGAGGTATGTCTGCAGACCCCAGTCTCAGTGTAAGCCATGAAGCAGCCCTGTAATTCCATTCAAGCGCCTGTCAGCCATGGTCCATGGCCAATTCTTCTTGCCCAGGGACCAACTCAGTAACCCAGCAGGAACACTCCAAGGGACCTGAAGGAATACAACACTTATCTGCGCCTGGTAACAGGCCCACCATCTGCAAACCCAACTGTGAAACCTGAAGCATATTCTTTACCCAGCACCAGCTCTACAGACCAAGGTCCTGGAAGCAGTTTATTCTTTCCTGGGGCCAGACAGGATGCAAGCCTGTTCAAGCCCCTAGTAACAGACCCACTAACATGGACCCCATTGCAGACCCAGCAGCAGCCACATAACTCGGCTGCAGCCCTACTCAACTGCAATCCTGGAGGCAATCTTATCAGCTCAGGAACCCAAAAGAAGAAAATATTTACCTAGCAAAACCAGTCTGTAGTGACTGAAGGAAGTGTTTGCTCATTCAAATGCACAAACACCAACATAAGGCTATATAGGTAGTGAAGAATCAGGCAAACATGACACTCTCAAGAAAACGAATACAGTTCCAGTAACTGACTCCAAAAAAATGGAGATCTGCAAATCGTCTGACAAATAATTCAAAATATTATCTTTAAGAAGCTCAATGAGATGCAAGAGAACACAGATACACAGTTGAACAAAACAAGAAAAACAATGCATTAACAAAATTAGAAGTTTCATAAAGCAATAGTAAATGCCAGGCATGGTGGCTTGTGTCTATAATCCCAGCTACTTGGGAGGCTGAAGCAGGTGGATCACTCGAGGCCAGGAGTTTGGGACCAGCCTGAGTAACATAACAAGACATCCTTCTCTACAATTTTTTTAAAAGAAAAGATTAAAGAATGGGCCAAGGACCTAAATAAACATTTTTCCAAAGATGGTATACAAATCGCTAACAGGTACATGAAACATCACCAATCATCAGGAAAATGTAAATCAAAACTACAATGAGAAATTACCTCATTATGATAAGAATGAGCTATTAGAATGAGTATTTTCAAGAAGATAAGAGACAACAAGTATTGGCAAGGGTATGGAGAAAAGGCAACCCTTGTGCACTGTTGATGGGAATGTAAAGTGGTACAGCCATTATGGAAAATAGTATGGAAGTTCTTCAGAAAATTAAAAGCTGCCATATGATCCAGCTATCCTACTTCTGGGTATATATTCGAAGGAAATAAAATCATGCTCTTAAATATATTTGCATTCCTATGTTCATTACAGCATTATTCACAATAGCCAAGATACAGAAACAACCTAAATATCTATCAACAGATGAATGAATGAAGAAAATGTTACATACACACACACACACATTCTCTCTCTCTCTCTCTCTCACACACACACACGCACAATAGAATATTTACAATGGTGGTATGTATAATGTATATATTAATACAATATTTTTCAGCCATAAAAAAGAAGGATATCTTGCCATTTGGGACAACATGGATGAACCTGGAAGATATTATGCTAAGTGAAATAAGCCAGACATAAAAAGATAAATACTGTATTATCTCACTAATACGTAGAATCTAAAAAAGTTGAACTTAAAGAAGCAGAGTGTAGAATGGTGGTTGACAGGCCGGGCGCGGTGGCTCACACCTGTAATCCCAGCATTTTGGGAGCCCTAGGTGGGCAAATCACGAGGTCAGGAGTTCGAGACTAGCTTGGCCAACATGTGAAACCCCCATCTCTACTAAAAATACAAAAAATTAGCTGAGCGTGGTGGCGGACGCCTGTAATTTCAGCTATTTGGGAGTTTGAGGCAGGAGAATCACTTGAAGCTGGGAGGTGGAGGTTGCAGTGAGCTGAGATAGCACCACTGCACTCCAATCCAGCCTGGGTGACAGTGCGAGACTCTGTCTCAAAAAAAAAAAAAAAAAAAAAAAGAATGGTGGTTGACAGAGGTTGGAGCATGGGAAAAATGGGGAGATGTTGGTCAAAGGGTATAAACTTTCAGTCATAAGATGAATAAGTTCTGGCAATCTAATGTATAGCATGGTGACTATGGTTAATAACACTGTATTGTTTACTTGAAATTTGCCAAGAGAGCAGATCTTGTGTCCTTACTGCCACCGTCCCCCACCCCACACACAGTAATAACTAGAAGTATGTGTTAATTAATTTGATTGTGGTAATCATTATACAATGTATTTCAAATCATCACATTGTATACCTTGAATATATACAATTTATATTTGTCAATTATACATCAGTAAAGTTGGAAAAGGTAATAATGGTAAATCCTAATAGTAAATTGACATCATGATTTGTGAATATCCTACTTTAATATTCCTCTAGAAGGGAAGACAGTAAAAATTTGAATATGTAGAAAAGGAAGTAAACATCATTGGTGCAACTAATTTCCTCAATAGACTGGAATGGAGACGTTGAAAGAAGTAACATACCTTGACAGCTTGTTTTAAGTATTTAGGTGCTTCCTATCTGCATTCATTACTCTGAAGAATTATATTACAAAACCAAAAAAAGGATGAAAGGCTTTAAAAGTGAATAATGTTACTTACTTCCAGCATTTAAAAATCTCATTTTCAACACTGCTATGCAAAACTTGTGGTTTAGTTTGGACTCTTTTTGAAATTATAAAGAAACCATTTGATTCTTTGTGTGTTTATTACTAATATATTTGGGTACATACAACATACAGGAAATATAGCAAAACCTAGTAATATCTGCTAATACACTTAATGTTATATTTCAAAAGAGTTAAATTTGTAAACTCAGATTGTCCTAATATGATGAATATCAGCAGACTAAGAATAATAATATATGAAGGTAGCTATGAACAGCACCGGCATAATCTTCACGGTATAAAAAAATCATATATGAATGTACAGGAGAATTAAAAGGAGTGAAAAGGAATACTCCATATGACAATATCCAGTATCAACTTTTAAAATTTTGTGATTTTATTTATTTAGTTTTTTAATTTAGTTGGGTGGGTTTTTGTTTGTTTGTTTTTTTGTTTGTTTGTTTGTTTTTGAGACAGAGTCTCACTCTATCACCCAGGCTGGAGTGCAGTGGTATAATCGGCTCACTGCAACCTCCGCTTTCTGGGCTCAAGTGATCTTCCCACCTCTGCCTCCACCTCTGCCTCCCAAGTAGCTGGACTACAGGCACATACCACCATGCCTGGCTAATTTGTGTATTTTTTGCAGAGACAGGGCTTTGCCATGTTGCCTAGGCTGGTCTCAAACTCCTGAGCTCAAGGGATCCGCCTGCCTCAGCCTCCCAAAGTCCTGGGACTACAGAGCCACCGCACCTGGCCTTAAATTTGGTGATTTTAAACAAGAGTATTGATTATGTAGATCTAGTCGTTACATCTATTCTTACATATGTCTATAGCTCAAACACTCTACTCAACACACATTTATTCCACCAGGGCCCTTAAGTGTTACTAGGCATCACGTATCTAACAGATCCAAACAGAGTTCAACATCTTCACTGTCATCCTTTCTACATTCCCTAATTAACAGCAGCATAAGCCAGAAACCCCTTTTAAGCCCCTTATTCTCCTTCATCAACTAATCAAATTTGTTCGACCTACCCCTAAATCTCTACCAAACCCCATCACCTTCTTTCCTGTTCCACTACAATCTCAGTACTTGCCTTGTTCACCTGGATATTGTAAAAGCTTCTTAACTAGCCTCCCTGCCTCTTGTTTTGTCACTTCTCTCCAATCTTCATCCAGTAGCCAAATAACCTTTCTAAAATGCAGCTCTCCCCATCTCCTCCTACGGGCTAACATTCAGCTCCCTTAGCATGGTACACAAAACGCAGCCTTCCTGATCTGCTGCCAGCTTACCTGGCCAGCAACT